AGGGAGTAATTGGGGATTCAGGGAAGCTATCCTATCTTCCAGTGCTGAGAGTTTAGTGTTTGCCTTTTCCTCAGTAGCCAGTAATAACTTCTCATATCTGTTCGAGATGCAAATTATACATTTGATAGCAGGGGTATTCAAGCAATCCGTACAAAACCAAAAACAATCCGGTTGTGCAGTCATCTGTTTTGCCTGCTTGCTCGATAGTTTCGCGCACGAGGGGTGAAAGTATTTCCGAAAATAGGTGCATGATATTCCTGCCTTGATATCTTTGCCGCAGCCTGTCGAACCACAGACTTTGAAAACCTATTGACCAATGGTGTGTCATTTGTTGGTATACTCCGTCGTCCCATTTTGATTCAATGAACGGCGAGATGAGGAACCGTTGACAAAGGTCAAGTGGAGTGAACTCGATATGACCGGGTCAATCAGGCGAGGTGTGTAGAACACTGACCGGGGTAGTCAATGTGTATCGATCGTCGTGACTGTGTTGCAGAGACCGAAACACGTGCAGGCGTGATTGCAAATGGCACAGAACTGAATGAAACAAAATATATCCGTAGCTCTCTTGGAAATGCACAACGAAAGGTGCACAAAAGCGCGTTCGATGGAGCGTTGATTTATCTTCAAAATGGTACCACAGTGGATACACTGTGCATAGAATAAATCACCTTTGCGCGCGTGAGTAGCACAGAGAGTTCGGTTTGGGCAACCGAACGGCAGAACATTCAAAGGGTTAGCTAAGAGACAGCAACCAAAACCGACGCACAAGTGTACAAAGTGAAACTGAAAAACGTTGAAATCAGAATGAAAATTGATACTATTTTCAGTTAAATGTCAGATGACAAAAGAGGAATATGTGACGATTGTGCTCTGTCTAGTGAGCTCTAGCAAACGGAATTGAAGGTACAGTTGCGTGACACGCATAAACCTCAAAAAACCACTAAGCGAGGTCGTGAAAAATGAAGGGGAAAAATGGTTCATAAAAGTTTGCATCGACATGCTGTATTTTCGGCAAGGTTTTGGTGTATAATATTGAAAGAATCACGTATGAAGGTGCAACAAAACCCGCTTTCATTTTGTTTGCTCATTAACCCAAAGAGATATCCCCGAAATCACACACTAAGGTCATCTGAGCAAGTAGAACCGTGAGACTTCCAAGAGGGACAGTTCACAGCCCAGCGAGGATTTGACACTTTCGACAGTAAGACAACCCCCAACGGAGTCTAGTTGTTTCTAATGCCTGGTTGGACAAAAAGTATCAGTAAATAAATCTTAAGGAGACTAAAAACCACAGTAAAATGTACCAAAGCTTATCACCTGAGCCTACGGTTAAACCTTTTGCAAACAAGCAAGAATAGAGCATACTAACACAGGGATTACTTACTGCTTTCCACGAGGATAATGCCGAACAAATTCTCCTATATCGTGCACCGCCACTGAAAGACACAGGGGATCTGTGCACAGCTCCACCAAACGAACAAGCATTCTGCAATAAGCACAACGAATATCGAAATGCACTTTAATACCGGCGAAAAAATGGCGATGCAATTGATGTTAAGTTTTCAAGCACGAAAGGAAGAGAACATATCAACGCGGTATGGTCTAGTGCGTGCGGTACGTCATAAAACGATCACACCCTTTGTATGAGTTTAGGTGCAGAAGTGTTCTCATAATCCTTTGACGAAATATGTTGTGATTTATGAATAAATTTCGATATAATGTTTTTAGGTCATTCCCAAAGCAACCAATCAGTGTTTCAGAGCACAAAGCGTTCTGGGGAGATCCACCCGGAGACGTGCAAAACAGAAATGGCTATAACGGCGAACTGCAACGTTTGAGCGTTATAAGGAGCTGGAATTTTGGATCCCCAATAACAACACAAATCGCACGCAGCCATCCTGTTATGGACAAAGCAGCTGTCCAGTGCAAATTACCGATCATTCGACAGAATTGGATTGCGAATGCAAACCATTAAAACACGGGAAAAATGGAACTGCGAAGTGAAACCAGGACCAGAATATCATAAAATGTCCAATTCGAAATATTGTAATACTCACCATATTGTTAGCAAGATTATGATCGTTATATAACAAGAAATCCTCCATACTTTCTGTATGAAACGAGAATGCCTTCATGCATCAAACTCTTCAGCATACTAAGCACGAGTGAATACCACATCATTGCAACAGTTGATTCAGAATGGCAAAATCCAGAACAGCATTCTACACATGCGACGACAACTCATCTGAAACTTGAAGGCCGAATGGTATATGATTGTCCGTNAAGGCTTTCGACAGCATTCCGTTCTTTCTTGGTACAAAACGCATACAAGCGGGATCGATCAACGTGTATGGAAAAGCTCACTAAGAACTAACGGAATATTTTCGTGGGAGCGCGAGATCACAAATCAGCTACTGTCCGGGAGCGAGAAAAACAGGACTGATTAACAGAATGTGCATCTTTCAACGATCAGCTTCTGTGCACTGCAACTATGTTTGTCAAATACCAACGAGAGGGAGAGAGTGGTCACATGAAAGTCACAGAAAAGCGCTAACAATGTAATGGGTTAACTCTGATTGCATACTTGAGTAATTCGTAGTTATTATCCGTGAACTTCACCGCGTTCTCGCACCAAAACTTTTCCGATTTGTGTACCGGGGACCATTCAAGTCGACCAGATTTCAGTTCCGTAGTGTACTCCTCAAGGCTGCTTACATCCTGTATGCTGGCCGACAACTTTTCCTATTGGAAAGAATAAAGCCAATGATGAACTGCTTGAGAAAGACCAGATATGCCAATTGATATATCAAACTGTGTGGCAGAAGTATGAAGTAAGAAACACTGGTTGGATAGTGATTCCCTTTGGGTACGTAATTCTGCCACCACGAGGATATCCTTACGATTTTCAGAGGCACAGCATTCCGATCACCTTGAACTGTTTCTATACATGCATATAACTAGGTGTCTGGGTTGTGATTCAGTCAGGTGAATATGAATGGATCTATGCTTGATTGGTTTGTCTTGAAAAAGGAAATGCAATCATCGGTAGTCAAGGCTGAGAATGATACCAACTCCACTCTTCGATAATTACAACATAAGTATGCAGGTTATCAACACGTTACTCATGCATTGTAGAATCAAATCTGTCTACTGTATCAATATTAGTACTGGTACGCTGGTATATCCCGAAGCGGTCCTCCGTTGTGCAGTCTTTTTTATACAGACCGAAGAACGAACATCCAAATTTTTCTTAGCAGTTCCTTGTGTTTTTTTTCCATGTCATACGTTGGACTAAAGTGATTTTTAATGATAAAAGGGTGCTGTAAACACACCCGACTATGAGAAAATCCATCTCGTTACAGGAAGGTTTTAGAAACTAGGACCTTAAATAGTCCATAAACCTATATTAGAGTTCATAGGAGTAGATATGTGGCCATACAAAAATGGATAGGCTTTAACTCAGGGCTATATCACTCCCCAAATTTCATACATTGTTATATAGTCAAGATATTCGGCAACCCTGGAGGCAAAGACCAGATAAATCTTCAAGGTCATTTATAGACTTCACATACAGACACACACAAGTGATAAAGACCAATTTGAATAATCTAGACTAAAGAAAAGTAAGTTGAGGCAATTTTCCGTATGACCACTGGTGCTTGGCGATGTGACCACTAATAAGGGTTTCGCAACAACAGGTTTAGTGGAGATGCACTGAAGTGTTTCTCATATATGATCTCCTATAACGAACAATAATGGTAAACCCGGACAAATCGAAGGCCTTCGACCTGGCACGAAGGTTTACTGGATAAATTGCTTAAGTTTAGTCTCTCTGTGTAACTCGGGTCGTGGATCCGTAGTTTTTTCAGTGACTGCTCTATCGCGGTCAGTGTTTACGCGGCTCTTAGATATTCACCATGTATCTCTGGCTGTTATCAAAGATTCAGTGCTCTCCCCCATACTCTTCACCTCATTTATTAATAAGTTGATATCATTTACTTCCAACACCATCCATTCTTTAGCCGATGTTACCACTTTGAACTGCTCTTTATCCTACTTATTTGACACTGCATCAAACATCTCCCGCAATCGATCAAACGTGCACATTAACGAACTTCTATCTCGACCGAATAATAGCCTGAGTTTTTAACCGCGTATTGTCCAACACATGTCTGTTTCTTTAAAAAGTGATGCCTACTTTTGTCCTTCCCTCGATTTCGGAAGTTTTACACTCAATTCCATACCTATCAGTGATCTTCCAGTTTTTTCTTCCTCTGTCTCGCTTACATTACGCGCGTCCAAAGAAGATAGTTTCTTTTGTTGTTATTTTCACACCTTCCCAGTTATTGATACTATATCAGACCCAAATACGTCCCACTCATGAATGCTACTGTCTCGTTCTAGATGAAGCTTCATCTCTTCTGGAGCGTGTTCAACGAAAGGCTGCCGTCTCATTGGCAACCTAACGATAACTTTCTGTATGCCTAATGCCGAGCTTCTGCTTCACTTTCTTTTTTATCGTTACTGTCATGGTTTCTGTTCCCCGGATTCGCGACTGCAGCTACTGACTACCATTCTGTTCACCAGTCCAAACCACAGAGCCAACAAACCACTCGAATCTGTCTGTCGAATTTCTGGCTTTTATTTAACCTTTTTCCCGAGAACCACTAAGCCATGGAATACTGTTCTTCAGTCGACACCTATAATTTTCAAGTTTTCCAACGTAGAATCAACAAACCGGTTTTGACATGATTGTTTAGCATCACTCGTCCTTCACGTACAGTACAGCTTGGGTCTATCGAGGATGAGCCCCTTCCACTGCCATCCATGGTTGTGTAATTAAGAAAATCATCTGTTGGCTTAGGACAAATTGACGGACTACCGATGACTTGCGACCGGAGGTGAAGTTCAGCAGCAGGAAACATATGGCACAGATAGGAACAGCACAGATGGTTAGTTAGTCAATTCAAACAGTTTACAAATAAGGGCTAATCAATACAGTCATTGGGAAGGTTTCAATTGCACAGTAATTTATAGATTAGGTGTTCCACACTCACATCGTGAGAATAGGTTTAATAACGGCTAGTAGCATAAGAAAATTCCGCTAGTTAGATCACGAAATCCAGAATTTCAGCTAAATATTGCAAAATAGATAGATTCGATGTTAAAACGAACGCATATTTGTGGAGGTTCAGCATAATGATAAGAACGTGAACTATTCGAAACGGAACGTACCGTGAGGAATGCCATATCGTCTGTGAGTTCCGGATCATGACTGAAATCTTTCTGGCTTAGCAACTCTAATTGTCGCAAGACTTTGCATTGGACGAGACTCAGACCCAAGTTGCGTTGCTCTGTCGGGGTAGGCAACTTTTCCAGAAGTGACTGAGGGTAATAGATAAACGAAAACAAATTTTGAGAAAATCGTCAGATCATTTAGTTTCAGTACTGATAAGAAGACTGTTGCTGGTAAAGGCTTATCGCACCAGGAAACGTATAATCTCTAGTGCGAGGCATGAAACAGTAGCAAGTACGAAAACGAAATTATTCTGCGATCGTGTTGTAGCGTGTCCTTTAGTTCAGTCGATCAGTATAGAAATTATGGCATAATTTGCCTCTTTAAATACTAAAACCTTAAAACGCACAGAACTCAGTTAACTGTTTGACGCTGTGATTTGTTAACTTAAGGTCGGCAACCTTAGACCTAGGGTTAGATTGGCATGACTTTAGTTTTTACTCAATAAGCTGCTCTACTCAAGCTAGAGAACAATCTCAATTACGAATCTGCTAAATCTTCCACTGCGTAACCTGATCCAATCATGTGTTTAAAGCTGTATGGAGTGCTTTTGTAGCTTTTCGGCATGGAACGAGGCCAGAATTCTCACACTTCGCAAGACTATAGATCACCTCTATGAACTCATGCGTTCCACCAAGTTCAAAAGAAACCATTCGATCTGCTGCTGATCTGTCCTCGTCATCTAATCGTCCACTAATGGCTACTTGTCATGCGATCGACTCCCGATCTATTTCCTAGCGTAACTGCAACGGTCTCCCACCTCCAAAAGTGTCAGAATGACTGGATTTTGTGACTCATCGTCCCTCCGTTCTGTTTCACGAAATGCTCCTATATGGCTGAGCGTTGCAAACAATTTATGCTGATGAAGCTCTTTTCACTGCCTGCACGTGGCGCAAGTGCTTCCCCATCGGAGTGAGAGGAAAAAGACCAACATCCAGCGTTATAAACTTGTCAGCGAGACGCTGGCACTTTACCTAGAGGAGTTGACTAAAACGACATTCCAAGCCAACCAAGAAGAGGCATATGAGTCACACACATGGTTGTGGCATGGATCACCAATTCGGCTGGGTCTTGAGGGGTATTCAGCACTATCGCCGTTTGACTTCATCCAAACGTTATATCATCCGAAGACCCGAATACCAGTCCGGGCGTATCCTTCGAAGCCGAGATTTCTTCAATATCGGGGGAAAGTATGCTGTCCAGTTCGCGGAACAAGGAAATGAATACAAGGAAAAGACCGACATCCTAATCACCTCAACTGTTTGACCTGAGAAGTATTTCCAAAAGCAAACAAGAAGCGATTATTCCATTAGACCTCTTGTGAATTCCTTGGTGCTATTGAGATTGTATTGTGAAAACTGACAGTTTTATCAGCAAAGGAAGCAAGACGTGCGAATGTGCCATACAAACCTTGCATGGGTATAAACGGAAACCGGGATCAGTGAGAACAAACCGGATTTTCACAACACTCCAGAAGCAGCAGGGTGATTCAGCAGAATACGTGTCACGGAACGAGTTTGATGTGAGAACTGAAGCAGACGGGGATGAACATGGAACCGCCGGAGGGGGGGGTAGTTGAGCGGTTCAAATGACCGCTACCAGAGTGCTGATTAGTAGCAACCTACAGTAAATGGTTTCGATAACTCTTAAAGCAAAGTCGACTGTCGTGACATTTTTCTAGACAATCTGTGAATAGAAAGATAGTTAGACGGAAGCATTTCGTATTACTCATCGGTCCCAAGCATGTATGTATATCAACAGTCGTGATACATTTTAATATCACTTCTATTCATAGTCGCGAACTGGACTAAAGTGACCCACTGTTTGAGGTTTTCACAAATCAGATAGCGCCAACCGGAAAGTTTGACGGGGAAAACGTTATGCTCATGTTTACACCCTATACGAAAACCCCAACTATGTGCACCGTAAGCGAAGAATGTCTGTTTGTGAGATGAGCAAGAGTGATTAAATAGCTTCAGTTAGAAATTACGATCAAATCAAAGATAGAAGGTACACTTAGACACAACATCTACCGAGTTCGATTGCGTTTTAATCAGTCCAAAAGAGCACGTGCAAATTGATTGACCTTTGTTTTCTGTCTAATATTATAACAAAAATAATGATAGAACAAAGTTAATCATTAAGGGGTACAAGAGACGCCAAACGGAATGATCTTTGATCGTGTGATTACATTTAATCGATACTACAGGATGTGTGTTGAACATATTCGGTGACCTGACATCAAGTAACCAGTTAGAATATGAAAACGGTGCCATGAAACATTCTGGCCGTGGATTCGGTCATCATGCGTATGCGATATTGTTCTAACAAGATTGCGCAAGTAGCAAGTGTGGGCTCTTGGTCAGAATCATTGAGTGAACCCTGAGGAAGGGTGGAATTAGGATCGAAATTTTGGAAAACATCTATGCCAGGGTCGCACACCTCTAAGGACGTCTGTACAACAAAATAATTCGTTTTCCATTGGGGTGAAAAATAACGAAACGAGATATGACCTAGATGAAAAGAGAACACCACGAAAGGTTCACAAAACTACGAATAATACTGAGCATATATAGAATACGAATGAAATATGTGCAGCCACTCAAAAAAATGTAATCCCGGAATTAGTTGTAATGTATCGAAGCAAATTTGATACATGAATGAATTACAGATGGCTTGATGAAGCTCACAAAAGACAATTAAGCACTGCCAAGTGCGCTTAACCGAATCCCGTGTGGTCGTACACAGAATCACGTTACCCTGTCCTTGTTGTAGACCTACCCTAACATAAATGAACGAGTGTCCTTGGTCGATCGAAAACCGTCTGACGAATTAGAAGTGATCCAAAATTTCAAATGAACGTAATTGAGTATCATGAGTGAATACCATGTAAACACGATCAATACCCCCCCCCCCTCATATTCAGAACTATCCTTTTGTGCATTTATGTACGGAGCAGCGTGCTAACTGTGCCTGTGCTGGGAGGAGTTTGTGTGACTATCTGAGTTCTACATGAACTCGTCATACGAAATGGATTAAAAGACAAATGAGAGGAAGCTCGTAAATTATTGTTTCGCTTTCTCGTCAGAAGGAATAAATCATCATGTATTTGGTAGTACGACCAATCCATAGGCGCTGGTACTGTTTACAAACGCAGTCGGAAAGTAGAATTTGAAGATAAGGTTACTCTAAAAACACCGGAATTAGCAAGAAACACGGGACTTGGGCGAAATTTTTGTTTGAACACAGTGAAATGATTGAGGTCAAGCTCAAACAGAACGAGGTCATCGCAGAATTGGGGAAGAGATCATATCACGAATAGTGAACACTAGAGCAGTTTCCACCATTCTGCGAAAACTGTGGAAAGAACATAACACGGAACGGGTGTTATTCACAGTCAGTTAAACTCTTCTGCCTGACCTGATCTCTGTGAGCTAAGGATACTGATCGACTTTCTGTATTCAATCACCGATGTCTTCTGGTGGGAAATCGGGTAGGCAATGTCGAAATTGACTGCCGTGTGTTGGGTGCGGATAGACGTTCTCAAAAAGTAATCACCACACACTGCTT